ACACTAAATTATTATTAAACTATGTCCAGGCTGCAGGACCTTTATTATAAACTGTGATCATATTAACCAGAGTGAACTATTCTTATGGGTGGGATAAAATTAGTGACACACCATTGACTCTTCAGCAGCACGGAATCCTTCAGACCCCACTGAACCCCGCCGGGCTGGTTCTCAATGTAATAGGCATAAATAGATGTGAGTGTGCTGTTCCTGTAAAAATGCTGGTAGGCAGTCCAGGATGTACCGTGCCTCTAACTGCCAGGTACCCAGGCCCTTTCCCTGGGTTCCATCATCCCTCCTCCTACTCCTCCCCCTCCTCCTCCTTCTTTTTTTAAAGGTACAATTGACATATAACATGATGTTAGTTTTATGTGTGTGATATAGTAACTTGGTATTTGTATATATTATGCAATGACAACCACAGTAAGTCTAGCTAACATGCATTACTCTACATAGTTACAAATTTCTCTTTCTTGTAATGAGAACATTTTAGGTCTACTCTTAGTAACTTTCAAATATGCAATGCAGTATTATTAACTATAGTCATTATGTTGTACATTACATCCCTGTGATTTATTTATTTTATTACTGGAGAGCTGTGCATTTCGATACACATCACCAGTTTTGTCTACTTGTACACCCTGCTTCTGGTGACCCACCAATCTGTTCTCTATAAGCTTGGTTTTCTTCCCTTCTTTTCTTTTCTCCTTCTCCTCCTCCTCTTCCTTCTTCTATTCCTCCTCCTCCACTTCTTCCTCCTCCACTTCCTCCCTTCCCTCCTCCTCCTCCTTCTTCTTCTTCTTCTAGATTCCACATACAACTGAAATTATATGATATTTGTCTTTCTTATTTTATTTAGCATAACACTGTCCATTTGTGGCAGATGGAAAGATTTTATTCTTTTTTGGTTCTACCATTCTTGACTGTGGCTTTCATCTCCTGGTCCAAGGTAGTTGCTCCAGCAACTTCCATATCACCTGCTTTGCAGCAAGAAGAACAGGGAAAGTGGGGGGTGGGGGGAAGAGCACTTATCCCTAACTTTAAAGGCAAGGTAAGGAACTGGCCATTCTCACTTCCATTCATGTGTAATTTGGTCAGCACTTAATTGCCTGCACACATCTGGTTACATAGGGCACTGAAACTTCTAGGCTTCAGCCAGGCTATGTCAAGCTAAACATTGTTTTTCTGAGGAAAAAGAGAGAATATTTATTGAAGCAACAACAAACAATTAGACATTATTTAACTAGTGAGTCACATTTTCTCTTTGAAGATAATTACACAAGCTACACATTAAAATCTATTTCTAAAAATTTAAAATATAAAACAAAATAAATGTTCTCCTTAACATTCTATGCTATATTCATTTCCTTATACAAACTTAACCATTGCCAACATTTGATTCTTCCATGCATTTTCATGTAAATTACATGTAAATTATGCATATCTAGCTCTTTTGTTAACCAAATTAAAAATATTATTATTCTTGTTTTGAAGCTTATTTCTTCATCTAATTACATCTCTTAGAATTGTCCTATTTAATTTCACACAGTTTTATCTACATCTAATAAGTGACTACATGGCATTTCATAATGTGGAATTATTTAACTGATCTTGTTACAAGCTTTTAGACTGTTCACAACTCTTTTTGTTAACACAAAAAATTTTTCCACAAAAATGTTACATTTTACGATCACAACCCATGCTGCAGCGGATGGTAGACATATTTCTATGAAATGAATCTTTAAAGAGAAGCTTCTTTATACATTCTTGTACATTCCATGAGAATTTTAGAATCAGCTAATCAAGTGCAATAAATCCTGTTAATATGATCTCTTAAAGTAGATTTTATAAATCAGTCTTTGGTATGCATAGAATATATTTTAAAAAAATGGAATCTCTTTATACTATGTGATCTTTCTATTCCAAGATTTTATAATTTTCTTAATATAGGTATTATATAATTCTTATAAAGTGTATCCTTAAGTATTTTATAGTTTTCTCATTAAGATGACTTAATAAATGTATATTTTGTTACACTTTCTATTGGCTATTTATGCTTTATCAGAAAACCACTGATTTTTAGCATGTTGGCATTTTATTCAGTAACATTACTGCTCTTATTTCTCCTTGGAGTTTAAGAGTTAAACCTCTCAGCTGACATCTGCCATTGGAAAGCCATGATCCTTCTCTTGGTTTTTAGACATGAGCTAGTCTTAGACCCAGAGTCTATCAAGCAAAGCAGAGTTCAGGTCCGCTCGAAGAGGCAGCCTGTGATGCCATGGTAAGTGTGTACAGAAGCAACTCCCTTCTTCCTCCCACCAAGAAACCTATGGCCTTCCATAGGGCCATAGAAGGGAAGAGAAGAAATATTGCGTCTTGTATGGTGCAAATCAGGAATTCATTTTTTTTCTCCCATGTGGGTATTCAGTTGAGTAACAGCATGGTTTTCTGAACAGACCTCCTTTCTCCACAGAGTGGCAACTGTTGCCTGTCACATATCAAGGTCCCATTTGTCCTGGAGCTATCTCTGGATTTTCTATCCTGCGTCATTGGTCTGCTCATCTACCCCCGAGTCAAAAATACACTGCACTGAATACTGCAACGTTCTAAAAAGTCAGGGTATCTCTAGGTCCCCTAAGGTAGGTTTTCTTCTTAAGCGTCTTAGCTATTTTTGGCCCTTTGATCTTCATATGGATTTTAGAGTCCACTAGCCGAACTTCTTAAAGAATCATGTTAGAATATCTTTGTGAATTAAAAAATGTGTATGTTGAAGAGAATGGACATCTTTTCAGCACTGAATGTTCCCATTAATGAAAATATTATTTATGATACTGCTGCATTTTAAGTTTCCTCTCATGTCCTTCAATAAAATTATCATTTTCCACAAGAATCTTATAGGCTTCTGTTATATTTTTCTTATTTGCTGTACTTTGTTGCCATTAATGACTTCTTTCTTTTGTACATTGCATATTGTTTGTGACAATGTAGGCGATTCTACCACCCACAACCAATTATAATTTCACTTTTATCTCTCCAGTGTTTTTATATGGTATTTATTATTTGTCTTTCTCATTGTGCTAGCAAGGCTCTGCAGTCTGATGCTGAATAGACATGCTGAGAGTGGTTGAATGTTTTCTTGTTAAAGGGATTTTTAAAGAAATTAAAAAGGTAATATTTTAACATTTCTTCAATGATTATGATGTTTGACGAGTTGATAAATTTGTTTTTAATTTATAGTCTATTTCAGGTTAAGGGAGTTTTGTTCTTTTCTCCATCTATACATTAATATCTTTATTTCTTTTCTGAATAATTAAAGCACTTGAATCAGCTCATTTTGTACTTTTTACTCATAAGCTTTATTTTCTTATAACCTTTAGTTTTGTCTTGACTTTTTTATCCCAATTAGATTTTATTATTTTATTCATAATATAAACATTTAGATGGATTAATTTTTACCCAGAATTTTCTTTTAGAATAATTTTCCTTTTTTCTGATCTTTATTCTTTAATAATTAACTTACAATAATAAAATAACTCAATTTTTGTTTTTCTCAAAATGTCTCTATTTCACTTTTTTGTGTGTATGTGTGTTTCATTTTTATCTTTGAAAGACAGGTGCACTGTAGACTTGATTGTCTATTTTTTAATTTTTTCTTTCAGTACTTCAAAGATATTATTCGATTGTCTTCTGGTTTCAACTGTTACCATTACAGGAAAGCTTTTAGAGGAATTGAGTTCCCTTTGAAATAATCTGTTTCTGTGGGTCAGAAGTTTGGCTGCAGGATGGTTTAACTAATCTCTCTGCTCCAAGTCTCCTGAGACTGAAATCAACATGTCAGCAGAACTGCATCCTTTACTGGAGATTCTGGGGAAGGATCTGCCTCCAAGCTCATCCGAGCTGTTGCCTGAATTCAGTTCCTGGTGGCTGTGGGACTGAGATTCCTTGTTATCTGTCTGCTGAGGACCTCCCTTGGCCCCTAGTCATGGCACCTACATTCGAAACCAACAAGAGCTTACTAAATCCTCCTTAGGCTAAGATCTCTCTGACATCTTCTGGCTGCCTCTTACCTTTCTCCCACCACATGAAGTCCAGTGCTCTGACCTTGTGCCTCTACCTCTTCTCACTGTCCATCTCACAGTGATCTCCCTGCACTCTGATCATCACTTACCATAGCCTCACTCAGACATTCAAACATGCATTTACTCAGAAAACCACTGCTCCCACTCCAGGACATCGCCTTTATCTCCACTTCAATTTGCAAAATCTTAAACCCTAGCAGTAAGTTTGTCACACACATAACCTGACTTCTGTTTTGGGTCTTTCTTTGTTTGTCATCCTACCAAAGGGAATGAGTTTAAGGAGAAAGTAAAAGACCACTATTTACACCATGTAAATACAAAGAAAAAAAGCATAAATATGTTCAAATGTGTTTACATTTTAATTTATTCTCCAGGTTACTTTTTAAAAAATTGGATATTTTCAGGTAGATTTAAAATTTTAATTTTTGGAGGTAATTCTTACATGTGCTGATAGTACTCTCAGTTTAACTAAATTACTTGGATCAATTTAATATGAGGAAGACAAAACCCATGATAGTTTTAAAAGATAAAACTAAAAAATAAAGTTTCTGACATTTTTCTTTTGTATTGTTTGACTCTGGATCAAATAATAAATAATAACTCACACTTTTAAAATGTTGAATGGCTATAAATCAGTAGTAAATTTTTTACTAACCTGATGTACAATATCTAAAATACTTCCATCTTCAGAACCCTTGGAATTATTTTATTTTCTCATTGAGTAAATATTATTAAGAGCCTAATAGTTTATTTATTAGCTATATGTTATTAAAGAAGAACTACATTGGCCACAGGAGACACAGATATGAGCAATATCAGTAGAGTTCCTGTCTTACTAGAACTTAACTCTTTGTGGAAGAGACAAAAAAAGCCAAAATACGTATAGCATAAAGTCAGGGAGTGGTAAGCGCTCTGAAGATAATGATGATGCAGGGTCAGAGGAGGGAGTGGCTAGGTGATAACACTTCAGACAAGGCAGTTATTGAATGCCTGGCGAGGACCGGAGACCTGGATGAAGAGGGGAGTAAGTCCTATGACTATGAGGGAGGAACAAACCTCCAAATGTATTTCATGACCCCCGGAGCATCCAGATCTAAAGACCCAACTTGTGAAATAGTGAAGAGCAGAAAGGCAGACCTAACATTTCTGTAAAGATAAAAACTGGCTTCCTGTTTGGCATAGCAAGCTGTGGGACTCAAAAATCACCTAGACATAAACAGTCTTTGACATGGATCGCTGCCCAAAAACAGGATGCATCCTTACCAAACCAAATTATATACAGAGATGAGAATTAATGTTATCAATGAGCTATTAACAGAAGGGAAAACTATTCCTACATTATCAATTGATAGAAAACATGTTTTCCTCAGAGGTTTGAATGGGTTTTGACCAGCTGCAAAAATGGAAATTTATTGGGAGAAAATCAGGGTAATTAAACGTGAAACAATAAAAGGAAGTCTCGGCCTGTATGCCAGTCCTGAGGTGGAATGAACTCTGTTTCTGCACAGAGGTAGTTTTGACAAAGCCAGACTCATCCATTCTGTCCACCTGGTTTATTGTTCTAGGGCAAATGAACTCTGTATAAATTTTTATAAAAATGTATCCACTTATAAAATTACTATTTATTGAAATTGGTAGTCTATAATACAACCAAATGTGGATTTAAAAAATGCATATAGTAACTGAAGAATCCTACTGTTTCTCAGAGAATTTAAAAGTATTTCAATATAATTTTATCCAGACTATATACTTTTTTAGAAATAAGATAATGGTCTTTTGGTTTTCTACTTTTATAAATTTTGTTCAGAAATATAGAAAACTAAATGTACCTATTAAAATGTGAGCCCTAGACTGCCAGCCAAGATGGAGACATAGGTAGATATACTGTGCTTCCTTGCATAACCCAAATAAGGACAATAACAAATTTAAAAACAAAAAATAACCAGAACTGACAGGAAATCAAACTGTATGGAAGTCCAACAACCAAGGAGTTAAAGAAGAAACATTCATTCAGACATGTAGGAGGGGCGGAGATGGGTACCTGGGGTAGAGAGGACTCATAGCAACGTAGCAGCTGGCAGAGCAGGTGGTCCCACATTTGCATGCAGATAAACTGGGAAAAACAACTGGGGAGGAAGACAGACCACACAACCCAGGGCTCCAGCACAGGGAAATAAAGCCTCAAAGCCTCTGACTGAAAAAACCTGTGGGGGTTGAGGCAGCGGAAGAAACTCTCAGCCTCATAGGAGAGTTCATTAGAGACATCCACAGGGTCCTAGAACATACACAAGCCCACCCACCCAGGAATCAGAACCAGAAGGGCCCAGTTTACTTGTGGGTAGTGGAGGAAGTGACTGAAAACTGGCTGAGAGCTGAGCAAGTGGCACTTTTCCCTCTCATACCCCTTCCCACACACAGCACCACAAGGCAGTGATATGGGGTGCCCCACCCTGGTGAATATCTAAGACTCTGCCCCTTACCATGTAATAGGTGCACCAAGACATATATATATATATATATATATATATATATGTATATATATATATATAGCCCAAATGAAAGAACAGATCAAAGCTCCAGAAAAATCATAACTAAGTGATGAAGAGACAGCCAACCTATCAGATGCACAGTTCAAAATACTGGTAATTGGGATGCTCACAGGAATGGCTGAGTATGGTCACAAAATAGAGGAAAAAATGAAGGCTGTGAAAAATGAAATACAGGAAAATGTATAGGGAACCCACAGCGAAGGAAAGGAAACCAGGACTCAAATCAACGGTTTGGACCAGAAGAAAGAAAGAAACATTCAACCAGAACAGGATGAAGGAATAAGAATTCAAAAATATGAGGAGAGGCTTAGGAACCTCTGGGACAACTTTAAATGTTTCAGCATCTGAATCATAGGGGTGCCAGGAGGAGAAGAAGAAGAACAAGAAATTGAAAACTTATTTGAAAACATAATGAAGCAGAACTTTCCCAATCTGGCAAAAGAAATACACTTCCAGGAAGTCCAGAAAGCTCAGAAAGTCCCAAAGAAGTTGGACCCAAGGAAGCACACACCAAGGCACACAAGGCATATCTTGGGTAATTCCATTACCCAAGATGAAAGAGAAGGAGATAATCTTAAAAGCAGCAAGGGAAATGGAGACAGTTACCTACAAAAGAGTGCCCATAAGACTGTCAGCTGATTTCTCAAAAGAGACCTTGCAGGAAAGAAGGGGCTGGAAAGAGGTATTCTGAGTCATGAAAGGCAAGGACCTACATCCCAGATTGCTGTATCCAACAAAGCTTTCATTTACAATGGAAGGGCAGATAAAGTGCTTCCCAGATAAGGTCAAGTTAAAAGAGTTCATCATCACCAAGACCTTATTATATGAAATATTAAAGGGATTTATCTAAGAAAAGAAAGATAAAAATATGAACAGAAAAATGACAAACAGCTATTAACAACTGAAACTAAAAAAACAAAAACAAAAACAAACTAAGCAAACAACTAGAACAGGAATAGATTCACAGAAATGGAGATCACATGGAGGATTATCAGTGGAGTACTGGGGGAGAATGGGGGAAAGACACAAGGAATAAGAAGCATAAATGGTAGGTAGAAAATAGACAGGGGGAGGTTAAGAATAGTATGGGAAATGGAGAGGCCAAAGAACTTATATGTATGACCCATGGACATGAACTAAGGTGGGGGGATGATGATGGGAGGGGTGGTATAGGGCAGAGAAGAAATAAAGGGGAGAAAAAATGGGACAACTGTAATAGCATAATCAATAAAGTATACTTAAAAAAATAAAATGTGAGCCCTTATTTTGCTTTCTTTGATCATTAGTATAAAGATTTTGTTTTGTTGATTATATGGAAATAAACCTCAACAAGAATACTGTAGACATGAATCTTCATATTTTCTCCAAAAAAAAAATCTCTAAGTAGAAACTATACCTGGCTGGCCTAGCTCAGTGGATTGAGCTCGGGCTGCGAACCAAAGTGTCACAGGTTCGATTCCCAGTGAGGGTACATGCCTGCGTTGCAGGCCATGACCCCCAGCAACCACACATTGATGTTTCTCTCTCTCTCTCTCTCCCTCCCTCCCTTCCCTCCCTATAAATAAATAAATAAATAAATAAATAAATAAATAAATAAATAAATAAATAAAATCTTTTAAAAAACTATAGGCATATAAATTGGAAAACAGGAAGTAAAATTGTCATTATTTGCAGATGATATGATAGTGTACTTAGGAAACCCTATGATATCCACCAAAAAAACCTACTCAACCTAAGAAGCAAATTTGGCAAAATAGCAAGATGCAAAGTCAATATTCAGAAATTGAAGGCATTTTTGTACACCAAAATAAAATTTCAGAAACAGAAACTAGGAAAAACATCCCATTTACTATAGCAACAAGAAAAATAAAGTACCTAGGAATAAACTTACCTAGGAATAAAGTGCATAGGAAGGAGGTAAAAGACTTGTACTTAGAAAACTAAAGAACACTGAAGAAAGAAAATCAAGGAAGATAGAAATAAATGGAAACATATATTGTGTTCATGGATTGGAAGCATTAATATCATTAAAATGTCCATAATACCCAAAGCAATCTATAGACTTAACACAATCCCTACTAAAATACCAATGGTATATTTCACAGATCTAGTGAAGTATTTCACAAATACTTCAAACATTTATATGGAACAAAAAATGACCCTGAATAGCCTCAGCAATCTTGAGAAAGAACAAAGCAGGAGGGATCACAATACCTAGTATCAAACTATACTAAAAGGCTACAAGGCCACTGTAATTAAAACAGTCTGGTACTGGCATAAGAAGAGACACATAGACCAATGAAACAGAATAGAGAGCCCAGAAATATACCCATGTCTCTATGGTCTATTAATATTTGAAAAAGGGGGCAGGGGCACAAAATGGAGTAAAAATAGCCTCTTCAATAAATGGTATTGGAAGATCAGGCTATGTACATGAAAAAAATGAAACTTGACCACCAACGTACACCATACACAAAAATAAACTCAAGGTGGGTAAAGGACTGAAATATAAGTCATGATACCATAAAAGGTCTAGAGGAAAACATAGGTAGTAAAATTTCAGATATCCCATGCAGCAATATTTTCACTGATATACCTTCTAGGGCAAGAGAGCTAAAAGAAAGAATAAACAAATGTGATTACAAGTTTAAAAGCTTCTGCAGGGCTAAAGAAAGTGTCAAAATGAGAAAGGATCCGACCTTATGGGAAAACATTTTTGCCAATGATACTTTGGACAAGGGCTTGATATCCAAAATATATAAAGAACTTATACACTGAACACCAGGAAGACAAACAATCCAGTTAAAAAATGGGCAAAGGACCTGAACAGACACTTCTCCAAGCAGGACATACAGAGGGCCCAGAGACATAGGAGAGGATGCTCAGCATCATTAGCCAACAGAGATGCAAATTAAAACCACAATGAGATACCACTTCACACCGGTCAGAATGGCCATCATAAACAAATCAACAAACAAGTGCTGGTGAGGTTATGGAGAAAAGGGAACCCTAGTGCACTGTTGGTGGGAATACAGACTAGTGCAGCCCCTATGGAAAACAGTATGGAATTTCCTCAGGAAACTAAAACTGGATCTGCCTTGTGACCCAGCAATACCACTGCTGGGATTGTACCCTAAGAACCCTGAAACACAAATTCTGAAGAACCTATTCACCCCAGTGTTCATAGCAGCACAATTTACAATAGCCAAGTGCTAGAAACAGCTTAAGTCTCCATCAGTAAATGACTGGATCAAAAAACTGTGGTACATTTACACAATGGAATACTACACAGCAGAAATAAAGAAGAACTCTTACCTTTTGCAACAGCATGGATGGAACTGGAGAATATCATGCTAAGTGAAATAAATGAGATGGTGAGAGACAAATACCATATGGTCTCACTTATAAGAGGAACGTAATGAAAAAACAAACAAGCGAGCAAAATAGAACCAGAGGCATGGGAACAAAGAACGGACTGACATTGACCAGAGGGGAGGAGGATGGGGATAAAGGGGAAAGCAGGGGAAGGGACTAGTCAAGGAACATGCATGAATGACCCATGACACGCACAACAGGGTGGGATTGACTGTGGGAGCGGGGGGTGGGCTGGGCAGAGGAGGACAAAGGGGCAAAAACTGGGACAACTGTAATAGAACAATAATAAAATATTTTTTAATAAAACAAACTCCAAAAGTTTTATTCTCCTTTCAGTGTCTATATTTTAATTTCCAGTACTTTTACAGTTAGTGTAAAGCTATAAAAATTGAGGAAATAAGCAGAAATGACCTAGTTTTGATAGAATGGGGAGTGTGAAAATGAGTATGAGAAAAACTTTATTCTTTTGGATATTCGTACAGCCACTCAGAAATGTATGACTTCACAAAGATGATTACTGCTTCACACTAAGTCCTGTCTAATGAGCATTCGGGTGAATGCAGGTTCTGCAAGTGTTGGTGCTGGAGTTCACCAAAGCTGGAGGGAACAGGTCACCGAACGCAGTTCAGGGCAGTGGTTAAGTATAACTTGGCACTGTGACTCCACCTCCCAGGGCGCGGAGGGTCTAGACTAAACTAAGAAAGCTGGTAGACAAAGACTTGGAACCCAGCTAACCCACATGTCCTACAGCCCTACCTTCCACACCCTTTTGTCCTACCAAAGGGGTCCCCAGTGGGAACTGTAATAACTCCCCTTTTTTGTTGTTTTTCTACCTTATTACCTGCTCTCTACTTGGTAGAATTATTTCCATACTTTCATACATGATACTGAAGTCTTCACTTCTCCCAGACCTTTCCATGAGGGAAATGTGATTGCGACCGTCCATCACTGTACTCCTCGCTGTAGCGTTTACAGTTCTGTTGCACTTGAGTGTTTGCATGTATGTTTCTCCCACCTGTTTTTCAAAAGTTACCTTCACTATAGAACCTGTTTTCCATATTTAAATACAAATTTTAATTAAGATATATAAATTGCCTGTTAGATAAATACTTGTGAAATAAAAAAATTTTATACCAATTAGGACATATTAAGAATTTCAACAAGTAACTGAGATGTACAAAAAAAGATATTAAGAATTAATTGTACTTGAACAGAATATGGATTTTTGAAATTGTTTCCCTCCATAACTTACTATTTAAGCATACTTTTTAAATGTTGGAAAGCAGTCTCATTCTATGGAAATTTAACCCAAAGGGCTGTAGCTGAGAGTTTGAAACTGTGCTATACATGTCTGTAGGAGATGGGGAAAGGACTAGAAAAACAGTCTCTTATCCCAAAAGCATTTTGGAGGTGGCCAAGAGGTCGGCATTTAGTGTGTCAGCTGAGGAAATGACGAGAAGGAAATTGTTTTGTGTCTCGGGAACCATGTGGAATTCCAAGATAAGAAAAACAGTTGCTAATTTGAGTATAAAAGCAGGAAACATGATACACTTGTTTCCTTTTATGCAAACACAGTATACGAGGGGTTGTGTGAAAATTATTTTTCTCTCGCTGAACCACAAAGACATAGAATCCTGGTGCTTCTTTTGGACACTCTGGCTTTTCTTTCCTTCTGGTTTTCTTTTCTTTCTTCTATTTCTTGTGGATATTATGGCTAATAACACAACAAGTTCAGAGAGTCTATGGCCAGAAAACTTTTGGGGTAAGCTATTTTCTTTACCTGTTTTTAATTGAAAATTAGAGTGCAAAAAAATATACTGCATTAGCCAAGACATTTTGTTTACTGTGAACTGATTGTTTTGATCGATTGATTATAATAGTGGGCATAAAAGTGGGCTATGAGGACCCTTCACCTCAGAAGAATCTATGCAACGGGTATAAATTTGGCTGGTTTTACAAAATATAATTAGAAAGTAATAAGAATAAAGAGGAACAGGGCAGCTGTAACTGCTCTTTGGAAGATGATAATGTGGATTTTGTTAGAAAAGGAAGTTGTATTCGTCTTAAAGTTAGGGATTATGTACTTTATTTAATGAAACCAAGAATTTTTGTAGAGGTTATTTTAACATACATTGTCAATGTTATGCTTTTTAATTCCCAAAGCAAATCTAAATAATAAATCTGTACTTAAGGTGTGCGATAACACAGATAAAGTAAGGAAATTAAAGGGGAAAACTGAAGTAGAATATCACACATAACATTACAAAGGAAGCTTATCACAAGACAAAAAGGCACAACCGAAAGGACTTTGTGTGTTCAGACACGGCTAATGGCAAATAGCAGCAGCAGCAGGGAGGTCAAAATGACCCACCATTCAAGGTTAGATGTACAGGGGAGGACTAAAATGTAAAAATTGACATGTACTCTGGGGTTCAGGGAAACTTTTAAAATAAAGGGGGTAAGCGGAGTTCCATCCAGGAAAAAAAAATTTTTGAAGGAGAAAATGGAGTTTATGGAGAGATCAATGACTTATTCGTCCAGAACAACTCTTTAACCATCTCAGAGGATTATTTCAGAGTCTCTGGTGCCGCTCGAGAGGACCGTGCTGGGAACACGGAGGTGGCGGGTGAGCAGAGCTGGCTGGCTGTCCCCAGCAGCCTCACCTAGCTGTCCACCCTCACAGAAACTGGCACGCAGGGAATTAACTCCTTCTTTTTCCTGTCAACCATTTATGATGGCTTCAAGTTTGAAAAGGAGAGACAATAGGGAACATCCTAAATAATGTATATAATCAAATTAGAAAGAAGAAAATAAATTACATTTGCATATCTTAAAAAGTGGCCTGGTAACTCTAGGTAGACACCAATAGAAAGTAAGCCTTTGGACTGGAGACAACTGATTATACATATTTGTCACCATACGACTGGGCATCCTCGTTTACAGAAAAAGTGCATGTGGGAAGCCTGGGCTGAAAAACAGCTAGAGGGTGTTTTTACACTAAAGTCTTCATTACACATTCATTACTTATTTAAGTAGCTGTATAAATGTATTTAAAAGTAAAGTAACTCTTACTGCAAAAGTTAATTATAAAAAAGCCAAATCTGCTTTTTCCCCACCGTTAAAAGTTAAATGACAGGTTCACTTGAGGAAAAGAAATAATTATTCACTGACTAAAACATGGATGATAATCATAAAATAAACTTTTATCTATAAGAGCAAATTTTTAATTAGAGCCTATTGGCCCATCCTAAAAATGACAGATTTTCTTTCAAAATATAAAAATTTGTGCTTGAGAAGGAAGTCAAACTTACTGTTCCAAAGATAGTTCCTAGTCTTTCTTTGTCTTATGTGAGTACAATGGAAAATAGATTAAAAATTATGAAAACCAGGAAGTGTTATAGTGATAAGCATTAACAAAACTAGGGCAAACACATTGAGCAGATATAATGTTTTTCAGGGAAATATAGAAAAGATCACATTTTTCTGAAGTAAAAAAATATTAAGTCTAAGATGCAAAGATGTAAATGTGAATATGTAATATATAAACATTTCCTAAAACATAAATGTCTATCTTTTTTATTTTCTTTCTTAGGTATACTTAAATGATATCTATTGTGATCCCAGACTCCACATATAACTTTGAAAATTTCATAAAACACTGTGTAAGACATTGTCTATGACTTCCAAAATCAGCTGGCTGCCTCACACTTTGAACTTAGAGAAGTAAACAAAGACTGGCTTAGAAAAACAAAACTTGTGCATTAATCACATCAGTTCCCCAGACTTAACACACTTAAGCTGCATAAAAAGTTGTTTCACAAATATAATTTTCCTGGTTTACTTTACTGAATGCTGAAAAATACAATAACAATAGCAGCTGATTACCAGGCATGACAGCTTGCATTTTCATAGTAATCACCCCCAAATCCTACTAAATGTTGTGTAAATGTGAAAGTAATTAGTGAGAGGGTGGGCAGCAAAATCAGCCTGAGAGTGACAACACAACGGAAGACCCCACCTTGCATTTCTCACTTTTGGTTAAAACTCTTGTTGTAAACATTCCCATGTTTACATGGGGAAGGGGAACGAAGTTTGCAGCACTCTGCCGTAAAGTAGAGAGGTAGCCTTAATCTTGGTTATCCCCTTGGTACTTAGCATCTTGAAGAAGATGTACTCTTGGTTGTACTTCCTGCCTTACCACATGGCTTTTCTCTTTTAGCTGGCATCCTGTGTATTTGGGTAGCATCATTGGTTCAGAAGCTTGCATTTATTCACCTTAATTAACCCTCTCCCGAACTGCAATGGCTGTCCTCAAGAAGATTACCTCTTGGAGTAGATTGTATGTCCATGACATATGCAAATAAATGCTTTTATTGTTTGGAATAATACAAGATAATATATAGTAAAATTGCAATGATTGATAATAGTTATGTTTTAAAAAAAGTGGCAGAAACGATCCCTAAATCTTTCTTAGAAGGAAAGAGACTTCACCTGTTCCTAGAAGGTTAGATAAGATTCAGATAGGGAGATGATTCCAGGAAGTCCTTTTCGGTCATTCATTTTTCCGTCATTCTCTCATCAACTCATTCATTCATGTATTTATCCGTCCAGTGCATTAGTTTACCCAAATGCACTGACTTGTCACTCAACATATGACAGGCAATGCATTACACGTTAGGACAGAAATAGGCATAGCTGAATAATTTAAGGGAGTTCAGGAGCAAGGTTTTCAAACACACACAAGTGTGTGTTAGCAAACAAACAAAAGTAACTACACACGAGTCACATCTGCAGAGAAGTGAATGACTTGAAGCAGATTTGTGGCAAGTTTTGAGGTCAGGGTCAAAGTCTGACCTAGTTTAACATAATAATCCTCAGTGTCACGAGCTCAGGTCTCCCCATTGTCCTCATTGCTAAGGCTTTTCCCTAAGGTTGCTGTCCCACTTAGGGCAGGTGTTCATGGGCCCAACCCAGAGTGTGGAGTGTCCCCCAGAGTCCATCTTCCCGGGCAGCCCTGAACCACCACTTTTGTGTGCCCCGTCTGGTGAGATCACACACAACTCTACCGATGTTCTGCCTCTCTTTAAATTCGCCCCATCAGAGGGGAGGGGGTTTACAGAGCTGGGTGAAAAAATAGGACCTTATAGACATAGATAGTAGTATGGTGATTACCAGAGGGAAAGGGGGGTGGGAGGAGGTGGAAGAGGGTGCAGTGGAGATACACGGTGATGGAAGGAGACTTGACTTGGGCTGGTGAGCACACAATACAATATACAGATGATGTGTTATAGAATGGTACACCTGTAACCTATATACTTTTATTAACCAATGTCACCCAATTAAATTCGATTATGAATTAATTAATTAATTAAATGATCTCCAATTTTGGTAGGTCTCTCAAGACTTCAGATTTTGAAAAACGTTTTTAATGTGTATTTTGTAATTGTTATCAGTGGTTTGATTCAAGTTAGTTCATCATATACAGGAAGAGGTGCGCTATCCCTTTTCTATGTAACTTACCTTCTATTCTAACAATGTTGTTGAATAATCATATTCAGAATATTGCTTATGACTTTTGCCCCTGGCCAAAACTACTGACAGTCTCCCAGCCTTTCGCTCATTTGTTTTTCAAACCCACACAAGAAGACATCTCAAATGTTACTTCTTTCAGGAAGTTTGTTCTGACCATCCTAGAAATAAGTTATTTTATCTTACAAATGGAATGACACTTAGGGCCTGTGATACTCATGCATGTCATTTAGTTTTATTTAAAGAGTCTAAACTAATCGGTCTAGTTTCCATTCATCTGAAAAGGAAAAAGAAGTTCGGGAATTCCCGTAGTAAATCGGGTGGTGAGAGTGGGCCTCAATGACAGGTGGACATCTGAGCCAGAACTAAAATGAACCATTCAGAGGACTGAGGAAAGATCTTCCGGAGCAAGTTACAGCCAGTGCCAGGCTTGAAGTCGGGTGCGTGTCTTGGTGGCAAAGAGGGCCGTGCGGATGCAGTTGAATGAGGCAGAAGAACAGTGGAGATGAGCACAGAACTTAGATACAGATCACGCTGGAACTTCTGTTTATAAAAGGCCATTTTGGGAGTTTGTTTTTACTCAAGAAAAGAAGAATGATGTGATTTGACATTTTTCAAAGGTTCACTCTGGCTTCTCATACCGAGAACAGAGTGTAGCCGGGGAGAATTGGGCAAGGACAGGTGCAGGAAGACCAGATGACAGGCTATCGGGAATATGACAGGTCAGAAAGGATGGTTGCCTGGACCAGGGAGGTGGCAAAGTAGTAATAAGAAGCCTAATTCTGGATATAGAGGTATTATGAAAACAAGCCAGATAGGATTTTTGGCAGATGACACAGAAAAAGCACTTACTCTGTTGAAATTGTACTTAATTGAGTTTTCTGTGCCCTAAATATTATTCTCTCTGAAAAACTTTTGCCAGCATCGTATTGCTTGAATTGTTCACTTGAGGGCACCAAGAACAGCAGAGCCTACGTGGTTAATAGCTAGGCTTAGGATTCTTATAATTGCAAAGAACTTTGTGACTAGATCGGTGTGCTATTCTGTTGTCAAAGACAAGATCGCTTTTCAGATACTGGAACGGTTCAACTCAAGACCACTAGATGGTAGCCTCTACTAGATTTTAACACTAATGGACAGCAGTTGAAGTATTTGATTAGATTTACTAAAACCAGGTTTGATATTAGAATGTTAGAATTGGAAGATACTATAGTGACTATTATTATTAGGTCC